CGTCACAGATTTAAACATTTAGTTTTTATTTTTATCAAAAGCAGTATATAATTTATACTGACTGAAGTATGATTACAAAGAATGATTTTTTGACATATATAATGATTAAATTTTTCTTTTTTTTTTTTTTTTTTGTCATTCAAAGATTTAAAAAATTTAAACTATACACTTTTTAAAATTAAAAAAAAAGATTGTAAAAAAGATTTTACAAAAGCTTGCGCTTCATAAAAAATATTTTTGCAAAGTTTCAAATCTTTTGAGTTTACATGTCGTAAAAACTTTAATATAAAATTTAAAATGTAAATATTTGCTTTGATAAAGTTTAACTTTGCAGTTAAACTTTAGCATGAAACATTTGTTTATTATTGTGTACAGGTATACGTACTGCAAAAACACCTAAAAAAGCACATCTCAATAACTTAATTATTATTTGCTCTTGAAAAAAAGAATTTTGAATGTGTTTAGAGTTGCTTAAAATTAGTTCTTTCCAGCTAGTTTGATTAATTTTTAAGAAATAGTTTTGTTATTAATGTTAACTGAATTTTTGTTTTTGTATGTGTACCCCAAAAACCACATTCAATTTATCGATTGTATCTCTGCAACTAGTGAACCTATGAAGCTAAAATTTGGCATGTCCTAATATTATTTGATCTGCTTTAAATAAAACCAGTTACTGCTAACTTAATCTTGAAGAAAATACCCAATGTACCACAAAAACCACAAGATAGGTACCCCAAAAACAACATTGATGTTTTTAAAATAACATTTTATAGGCTATACATGTGTTCTCGCTTTTTACTATATTGATTCTATGTAACCTCTAAATTCTAAAGATGTTATTGCAATATTTTTAACAAAGTTTCCATTGTGTTTTTTACGTATTTAAAAATCAATAACATTTTTAGAATATAATAATTGCAAGAATTTATTAAAACTCGTGTTTGAACCTTGAGCAAAATCTAAATTTTTACTTTAAAGTTGTTTTTTAGTATTTAGATATGTTCTGTAAGCGACTAATGTACTCTAAAATGTTTGACGACAATTTTTTAATCAAATAGAGTTAGAAAAAATAACATTGAAAATGAAGCCAAAATTACAGCTCGGGCAGGAAAAATTAGAGCCTATTCATGGAAAAAGAAAGCCTGAGGTATCAATAGGGAGAAAGTTCACTGATACGAAGAATTTACAATTAGAAAAGGTAGTGTAAAGAGTTTGATAATTACCTTACTGAGAAGGCAATAGAACAACCTGTTGTTTTATTATCTGACGGATATAGTTTACGATTCAGTTACAATGGTTTAATATACCTCCTTTCAAAACAAATTTGTTTATTTATTTATCCTCCCGACACTACTGGTGTAACTCAGTTGCTTGACCAGGTTAATAAAAATCTTCATCATGAGTACAGAATTACCAAGAATTATCTTTTCAACCCAATGCAATCAATTAATTAAGAGGGATTTATTACCATCGTAAGCAAAATATGGGAGAAATGGACATCGAAACCAGTTATTGTTTCTTGTTCAAAAAGAGTTGAAATAACATCTTTTGAATTTAATGTTAACTTTATGCAACAAGATAAATTTGAGCGAGCTGCTGCATGCATTGATAAAGAACAACAAGCGTCAACTTCTCTCAAAAAAACCTGAATCAACCATTTTGTCACCATTTGGTAAAAGGAAAGGTATGGTAAGTTACTGGAAAGATAAGTTTGACCAGTCTCAAATCTTGATTAAAAAAATGGCTGAGCAAAGCCTCCAATCAGAAAATATTCCTGATCTACTAGCTGTTAAGAAAATCAAACCAAACCTTGAAAAAATATCTACTTGTGTTACTCAGGTCTATGGTTCAATGCGTACAAAAGACGTTGCAGCAAAAGTAAAAGATATAAAAGAAGTGAAATGACGAAAAATTACAGCAAGGAAGTAAGCAAAAAAAAAAGAAAGAAGAAGCTAAAGAAAAGTGTATTAAATGTAAAGTTGAATATTTTTGCAAACAAAGGAAATGTCAAGCTTTCGGCCTAAAGCAATGTTCTAATTGTCTTGATGTTCTCCGTTCAATTTGCAGCAAAGTGAGTTGAAGAGTTGATTTCGTTAAACCGGTTATGCTTTTACCAGCAAACCAGCACTTCTCCACACCTAAAACACTGATATACGACCATTATAACAAATGTAACAACAATCAATATTCTTTTTTTGAATTAAAGTGATCAATTAAAGTACTGTTTTATTTATCTATGTTATCTTAACAGTAGTAACCTATTGTTATAATAATGTTATTAAGTCTGCAGCCATTTTAGATATCTGTGTTATTACTGATGTGTTCATATATTGTTTTTAAGATAAATATATATTATTTTCTTTAAAAAAAATCAAATACAATGGTATTTTAATATTTAATATTGTTATTTTTTATTTTAAAACATGATCTATCAAGTGAATTCTATAAAATGCACTCCAAAAACAACAATAATACTTCCTTTCTTTATGAGAGTGTTATAAACATTTATAACTACTTGAGAAAAAAAGTTCTTTTTTCAGTATCTAGTTATAATCCATAGGTAATAGAAAAACTATATTTTGCTAACTTATTCTCTGATACGGTTTCTAGGCTCCAACAAAACAAAAAAAACTACACGTTTTTAAAATTTAAATTTTTACCCTAGTGCAAATAACAACATATTTAACAAATAAAAAAATCACTAAAACTGCATTAATTTATAGGTTGACATATTAGCTATCATAATATATCAAATTTTTTGAATCCTGAACCTTTTTTTTCATGCTAGGTCACTTAAGTCAACATTGTGATTTTTGCAGTACAGTTGTTTTTGTGGTACGTATACTTGTATTATAATTATATAATTTTTTATTTTTTTATATATAATTTTTACGTATACTTGTATTAAATCATATATAATTTTTTTTTTTTGTTCTTAGTTAATTACTTAGTTTAATAAACTTGTAAGTTAAAATAAAAATATAAATACTTATGTAATTAGTTAGTATCTTAGGAAACATAGAACATATTTTTATGCATATTCTACAAATTTTTACATAATACGGGATAATCCTTCCCAACTGTGCTATATGTAATTTTTAAGAACATTTACTTTTTTAAATTTTACTTTAAAGTAAATTTACCTTTAAAAGAAACATTTCGATCAAAAAAAAAATTAATAAATGAAAAAATAGGCTAAAAGATCTCACTGAAAAGGCTGAAATGTTGTAACATAAACTAAAAAAATATTATTATAATATTAATTCATTATGATTATATAAAACTCTTTAAGCAATCCCCTATAACATTTTACTAGTTTCGTAACGTTTCAATTGGTTACAAGGTTACATTTTCTTATTTTATATTAAAAATTAATGAAATAAACTTGATAACGGAGTAAATGTTTGTTTATCATTGTCATATTGCTATTTACTATATTTACTTTATTTTTTAATGTAAAATAGCTTTATCTCATCTGGTTACTTTGTCATGGAAAAAAAAAAAAATTTCAATTTGCAACATTAGGTCTCAATTGCCTTTTTTTTAACTTTTAAAAGTGAAACTAATTGAGATGTAATGTAGCGTAAAAAAAGGCACAATTTAAATATGTCTCAAATACAGAATTCTTTTAACGTTACATTATGTCTCAATTGGTTATATTTTTAAAAGTTCAAAAAAACATAATGTAACATAAAATAAAATCTATATTTGTTTCATATTTTAATTATGTCTCAAATTTGAGACATCAATTTGCAATGTTACGGTTTTTTTTCAACTTTTAAAAGTGCAAACAAGTGAGACGTAATGTAACGTAAAAAAAGACACAATTAAATTATGTATTAAATACAAAGCTATTTAATTCTAGCGAGGCTTGTGATCAAATGCGCAATTTGCTAACAGCTGTTTTTCATAATTTTATTAGGAGTTATTAGCTGATATAAGTTTTATACTTTTGTGAGAAAAATTATCATGTCAACAATTTTTAAAGCTATTTACATGGAAACTTTGATTTTCATTTAACTGAAATAATGATCTTCTTATTTTTAAGGCCAATTTTTACAGAATTTTCTTTTTTAGTCTTAAGATTTAACTTTTCTGTTGATAACAAGTAAAAATTATTAAACGTAGGAGGAGGGGAAGGGGTCCAAGTTACATAAGTATGACCATACAAAAATTAAATTTTTTAACTTACCCAAACTTTCTGTTTAAATAATTTAATACTAAATTTACTATACAATTCTTTAAATAGTAAAGCTAGAATAAGTTAAAAAATTCTCCCGGGTTTCAAAAAAAAAATGAAAGCACTTTAAATTTGTTTTTTTTTTTGTATAAAAAAAATATTCTTTTTCAAATGGTGACTGTCTCGAGAATATTCTTTTTGCGCTTTTAAAATTTTAATAAACCCACAAGCAAAATATATATAAAATGTTATGATCAATGTATCAAAATAATACAGTTATAGAAAAATTTGTTTATATCTACTATTGTGTTTATAACTTGTTATTTGTAATGCTTGATTAGTATTTGTTATACTCTTGCTATATCTACTTATATCTTTTATTACTATTGTTGTATTTATGTTATATTTACACTCTACTTCAGATATAATTATATTTACATATGCTTATATATATTTCATATACTTACATATGAAGATATTTATATATATAAAAAACAAAAAAATTATAAAATATTAGAGAACCACATGTTGTATCGTGTTACTTAAAAGTACGAACGTTACATCTTGTTAGTTAAACATTTACATAACAAATTCCTAACATTACGTCTCGTTACATAAAAATGTTACGTCTTGTCATACATGATTAACCTGGTTTTGTTACGTAACAAAACTAATAACTTAATTCCTAATAATCTTCCATTAGTTTAGCTTTTTTTGTAGTTCAAAACACTATTTAAAAACATATACTTTTAAACAAATTATCAATATATATAAATAAAAATTAATATTATAAAAAAAACAATGAAAAATAATAAAATACTTGTAATTATTGATGAAATCTTTAATGATTCACTGTACCCATTATAGTTTACAGGATAAACATTTAGTTGAAACTCAGAAATAATTTTATCCAAAGAATTGCAAACAAGATCTTTCTTTAAGCTGAAAATATTTTTGCTCACCTAAGAGAATATATTATATGAATATAGAAATTAAAATTATTTTTCAAACAAAAAAATATTAAAATTTTTTAGGTTGCTTTTTGATCTCATTGATAATCTTTTAGAAAAGTTGAAGACGCACAAAAAAACTAAAGATCACACACTCAGTATAATAAGTCGAAGCAGATATAAATTTTGTTCTCTTCCCTCATAAGACTAATTATAAAAATTTGTAAAACCAATATTTATATATATATATATATATATATATATATATATATATATATATATATATATATATATATATATATATATATATATATAAATATATATATTCATATATATATATATGATCTTTAGTTTTTTTGTGTGTCTTCAACTTTCCTAAAAGATTATCAATGAGATATATAATGAACTAAATATATATAATAAACTAAATGTCATACTTTAAAATCAATACATAGTTAATGATAATTACGTAAATATGACGATATAAACACACACACAAAACATAAAATAAAGTTATAGATGAAAACTATATGAATCAGAATTTTTTATAAATTTAAAGATTCATTTAAAAAAATATTTACTTTAATATCATCAATTAATTTTTTATTAAATATATCTTAATTATAAAAAATAATATCAAAACATTATTAAAAGTAAATTTAAATCAAAGAAAATAGAGTGTGAAAATTACAGCAGAAATAAAAACTTTATTTGAAAAAAAGATATACTTACTAAATCTAACACACTCTCAGTTGAGTTGGCTTTATTTACTACAGTAATAGTAATTAAATAAATACTCTGAATAAATGAACTTTTTGAAAAGATGACTGGCCACTGAAACATGAGATTACCATCATGATTTTGATCCAAAATTACTTCAAATGAAGAATTTATATCAGGCAAA